TGTAAAGTCTGATTTGCAGAGCTATTTTCGCCTTGCAAGCAAACTAGACGAAGCTGGGTTTGATCAAAGTATGTTATTTTATTTATTTCGTTTGTATTAATCAGTCCTATAACCCTACCACTCCCACCATTAGTGTTGTCAATGACTACGATAACAACAATGACGGTGAATATCCGTGCATGAAGGCGCGACAATGTCATATAAATCATTATCGGATAATTATCGTCTAATAAAAACTAATGAAATGTTGGCATCACTAACTCGTGTTACGGTTTTTTCTCCAATATTATCGTCTAATAAAGTCTAAGTTAGACACTTATGTCTGGGCAACTATTGGGGAAGATCGTTTTTCTCCGATATTATCGGATAATTATCGTATAATAAAATTTAATGAAATGTTGGCAGAGATGTCTAACTTAGACATTTTTAGACATTATTAGACGATAATATTGGAGAAAAACGAACTGTCCCAATAGTTGCTCAGACAAACCTGTCTAACATTTTCAGACGATAATATCGGATAACGTTAAAAAGTGCAATGCCGTGCCTTCCGCCATCCGTGTATATAATCACGCCTTTCTTTAAATTTGCAGTTGCAATTGAAGATGCGCATAGACACAATGACCTGACTCTTCTTAAGCATTTTAAGAAATCGCAAGTTGTTCTGGGAGTCCTTGCCGTAGCTAGAAGTCGTGTGGAGACTACGGAAGAAATACGTAATCGATTGTCTGAGGCATTGAAGTACATTCCCGCTGAGAGATTACTGGTGGCGCCTGACTGTGGACTGGGGTTTCTACCGCATGGCATTCTTAAACAAAAGTTACAGAATATGGTGAAAGCTGCCAAGTCTTTGCCATGATGTGTTATTATAAAAAAACAATTTGGATATTATTAATAAATACAATAATCAAACTATACCGAATCAATAGACCTATTGTATACATACATACATATTCCCTGGCCTCTGGGGGTACATAGTAATGTGCGTGTCAAGTTTAAAGGCAATGGTGCTCTTTCTTGAGGACATATATGCACACATATTGTGAACTTATGAACTGAAAATTTAAATGCTCTTGCGGGTCACATACATGCAAAGTTTAACGAGGATGCAATACTGGTACTATTGTGAAAACACATTATGATAATATTTGACCTTTAAAAGTAACCAAATACATATGTTAAGTTTGAAGGCAATGGCTTTAGTGCCTTGTAATTATATTGCTAATAATCATCTCATATAACCTTGATCTACGCACAAAAATTGTCATGCAAGTCGTTCAAGAAACTTGTGTCAAAATTTCCTAGCTCATCCCTTTAATACATAAACACATACTTTGATATTTGGTCCAAAAATGTGCCAGGTTTTTGCGAGTCCCATAGGGAACACGTGTGTTAAGTTTGAAGTCTCTAGCTATTTTACTTATATAACAAAATATAGGGAATTGTTAGCCCCTCCACGTAGTTATATATTAAATAAATACATGCTGCAATTTTTTGTTTTTCGATATTGCCATGCCCTGTGGGTGACATTTGCGCCAAGTTTCCATCCATTTTTTCTCTTTGAATAATAATGTTAACATGTACACGAGTCAACACGACATTAAAAGGCCTATCTGCACAGTGCTTCGTGCAGGAAGTGAGAAAATTAATAAGATAGAAGTTGATTATGCCAATCATAGAAGTGTTATCAATATTAGGATGATGTTTTTGAAACTTATTAGTTTGTGTTTCAGAATTCGTATGGACAACTACAAAACATAAAACAGGTGTGGTCTAGGCTACTGATTGGTCAGGGTCAACAGATGGTGGAAATTTGACAACTATGCTTAGATAGAGGAATTATGTTCACCTTACACATTACATTGAGCAGCCAGTGTAACGTCACGTGACACTGCTATGCTCTCACAACAGGTAGCTGTTCCCTATGAATACACCTCAGTTGACTCCGAAGTCTCTGGAAGCTTCACACAATTGTCACTCGCCTCTAACACAATGATAAATAGGGTTCTTCAAGTTTAGACAATTTTTAGAACAAGAAATCCAACTATTGCTTCCTAGCCAATCAGAATTGCAGGATAATCTGTAAACATTTCAGAGTCTAATGTGTACCCTCAAACCAACATACAAGAATTAGATTGACCTAGTGGCTCTGTTCCTATCATTCTCTAAGACTTTTATATGACAGCATTTAATTTATAAATGCCTGCGACATCAATCATAAGTGTAGACAGATGAAATCACCATAGCTGTATTTAAATATGAATGCTCCAGGGATAAGAATGCTTCCCATTGAGATATCAGGAACTCCAAACTTTGAGATCATTAATGTTAATTAATTTGATCATTCGAGAGCATAGCGAATCCACCAATTTCAAAGAAAATTTTACAGGAGAAAATTAACAAATCTTAAACATCCATGTTTTTTACTGAATTTCAATTGTTTTGAAGCTTGTACAGACCCCCCCCCCCCCACCTCACACACAGAATGATACACGTGCAGGAATGTTGACAGTAGACTAGCCCTAAATTTTACATTTGTATTTTCAGGGATGTAAACCCATATTGCATCTGGTTCTAAAACCTTGCAAGTGCCCACATGTTCTTATTGCTCATCTTCGCAAACATCAACACCAAAAGTATTATATCATTTTATTAATAAAAACTGATTTCTCAACTTTATTAATTAATAGCATAATGAAATAAAGAACATACAATGTAATAGAACAAAGATGAAACAAGCATTCTATAAATCATACAAAGAGCGAAACGAAAACTTGAATACTTTGACACTTGTTAATGTTTGTGATATTCTTTGAGTGAACAATTACAAATTTGAACATAAATAATGAGCGACTTAGATGTTGCAAAAAAGGGGCACGAACAGTTATTTTTGTGGCGCTATTGTTAATTTTGCTTTAATGAACAAAAATATCCGAGAAAGTATAATTGTGAAATATCCATATACAACTGTATTTTTTTTTCAGTCACTGTTTCTATTACTATCTACGATATATGAATATAATTTGTTAACTTAGAAAATTGAACAGATAGAGCTTCCAGGCAATTCAGAACAAAGACCATAATTAATATGGTTGAATGCACCCACTCATAAACAAATAAATACATAAAAAAGGCTTTCACTGTTTAGGATGATATGAAATAATTCATGGGTATGGATTATGTGTTTGGTTGAAAGGATAAACTGAAACTAAAATCGTTACTTTATCCTGTAATTATCCTCAAAATAGATAATATATTTACATCATCTTGGTTGATTATAGGCAAATTTAAAGTGCACATAGGGAGTCTCTGGTCACGAAAACGGGTGAGCAACACTGAATGATAATGTATGTTTTTTCATAATGAATATATTTCCCATTTTTTAAGGTCTGTATATTTTATTATTATTTTTATATAGAAATTCAGCATTATTATTGGAGGTATAACACTGCAATGTAAACGCAGAAACTAATTTGGCTTCCAGTAAATATAAAAAATACGGGAAGACGAATGTTCTGTTATTATATTAGTTTCAAGTCCAGCTAAGGATAATGTTCCTAGAACAAAGTAAAAACAATGTTTTCCCTTTTGATTTAGTTCAATAAAATTTGAACAATTTCTTAAAATGAAATCAGTTTTGAAATGACAAGATATACAAATAACCATTACACATCAAGCCATCCAATTATGATGTATCGCGTCCAAACGCACAGTCTTGCAGATGTTTGGAAAGATCTTGAACGTCGTCATCATCAGTGTCTGTTTCACTGAACGTGTGATTGCGTGGTGAAAGCTGGTTGCCGTGTGCTAGGTACGAATGAAGTTTGCCGATTGAAGCCAGGACTAGACCAAGATATGGTGGCGATGGCTTCATTGGCCTGGAGATGTACTCTGGGTGATACTGGACTCCAACAAAATAGGGATGATCTACAAATACAATTTTCAAAAAACAAAATTATATTTTAAGGAAGGTGTTTTTTTGTTGTGTAACTATGCAACAATGTAACACAATTATACAAATTCTGATTTCATTTTAAATTCAGTTTTGTATATTCTTCTGAATGACAGGAAAACTAACCAATAAGGTACTGCAAATATCAACTGGCAACATTCAATTGTTAATCTCAATAGAGTCTTCCCGATTTTCTACTACTTACAAAGTCGCACATTGTTTAATGCATTTACAAATATTTGGGGCATCTCCTCTATCAACATCCAAAGTTTAAG